CAGACAACAATGCACACATATCAATGAATTTTTAAAGACACGTTGTAAACAAATGGGAAAAAAATGTTTCGAACACAGCAATAAAACATCTGAGCAATTCACCATAAATTGAAAAGGGACGGAATGATTTATTTATTTATTAGAAACACAAGGCAGCTGTATCGTGACAAGTTGCAAGGCTAGATATAAATGCATACAGGAACTTTATTGCATATTTAATAAAAAAAAAATCATCAAATTGTATTGTCTGTGGAAATAGTTGAAGATGTGCAGCACCTATTGATGGAATGTAATAGGAACCGAAGGGAAAGGAAAACATTTTTAAAAACATTTAATATTAATAAATTTGACATAGGTATTGTTCAAACATGCATGCTCATACATGCTCCTACTGCCAAAATTGCTTTGTGCTTAAGTGAATTAGTAAGTAGTATTGTTTAGTTACAATTATAATAATTATTCAATCCTGATGAGGATTTTGAGGAACTACTCGATTTATTTAATTGATTTTGTTATAAATAAAAAACGTTGTCCTACTATACGAATATTTTTAATGAGGATAAACCTTTTTCTGTTATTTTTGGTCTATTGTTGTTATTATTATCTATTTATTTATCTGAATAATTGAACTAAATAAATCATCTGAATACCAACATTTGACAGGGCCGTGCTTTGAAATATAGCCCGCTGTTATGTTTATTAACTACCGTTACTGTTTAAAGTGACACAGAACAGCGTAAACCGGTATGTTACAGTTTACCAACTGATATATCTTCATTGTGAATGTTTTGTATTTTTTTAAACTAGTGTTATATCTCTATGCCAACATTTGACAGTGAACGTGCTTTGAAATTATAGTAATTCATCAGCTCTGAAATATGTATTTGATCTTTGAATAAAATATATGCTGTTTTAAATATTGCTAGATATATTTAATATATATTTGGCCGTGTAGTCCCGGCATAAAATATGCCACGCCTTCTTTTGCCCATGGGTGTCGTAAGAGTCGACTAAAGGAATTTATTGGTCGAAGGATGGGCAGCAGCGTCCCTCTTAAAATATCACTTTTTTAATTACACAGCACTATCATACCTACTTGCACAACAATTAGTCCTTTACCTTAAGGTTGTCTTGAAAAGATTGCTCTCAGCAATAACACCGCCTTACTGTACTTATACAATTGTATCGTTGTGTTTGTAAATTGTCTTGCTTATTTCCTATATTGTATAATGCAAATAAAGTATACTCATTCATTCATTCAAAAGCTCATAGTGCGGTTGCCAACCCGTCAGACGTGGCGACTACTGGTAAAACCCCCTAAGGGGGAGGCCTATGTTCAGCAGTGGACAGTTACCGATTGATACCAATGATCTGATGAATGATGATGATGAGGTGATGAAATGAAAATACTACTTCTCCTTAAGTTGCTACCTCCATTAGTGTATCAATCCATAGGATATAAATTTTTACACTGTTCTCCGGTTTCCAGATTACCAAATCTGTCAAAAACTTATCCAAATTTCTCCACGCTCTTTTCATTTTCTCCAAAAATTTCTCCAGCTGTATTATTTCTCCAAAAAAATCTAATACATAAACATTTTCATACAAAACTAGTTTTTATCCAATACTTCATACACATGGATTTAAAAAAAAAACTAATGAAATAAACTACTTACAAAATCAAGATAAAACATACACAAGAGACCTTCAGGAACACAACTATGAAAACTATATCTAATTTGTCGTAGCTAATAATTTTTTCAAGATTCGAGAACAATATATATATATATATATATATATATATATATATATATATATATATATATATATATATATATATATATATATATAATTTTTGTCTGTATGTATATATATATATACATACAGACAAAAATTTTTAAAATTATTATTTTGGTATCTCTGCTTAAGATATTATGTAAATTTTTCTTTAAATATCTTCCATGTACAAACAATCTCTAATAGCAATTTTATTATATAAAAAAAATTACGTAAAAAATATTCAATATTTCAATGCTACTTATGTACTTAAAGACTTTACGTCCAAACCCAAACACATTGTATATTTTACGTATATTTTTAAGAAAATATAAATCACGCAATGTACAAAAATATGATATTCCATCAGGGTCGGTCGCCAAAATGACCAGTCGCTCCAATCGTGCGCTTTATGACGCTGTATCCGCCGCCAAAAAGCGATTCCGCGGAAAACTGCCGCGGAAATTGAATCGGTTTTCATTCCGAGATTCCGCGGATAAGTTTGGACGCGACGGCGGAAAACGTTCCGTTTAGATATCGGACGAATGATAATGTATGAAGTAGCCGAACATTGATTACCAATAGAGACGTGTAGACGTAAATTATTTTTAACCGACTTTAAAAAAAAAAGAGAGTCTCAATTCGGTTTTTTTTATGGGTGAAAATGACATAATAACCCCGCCTGCGCTATCGTTATACACTGGCGGGGCACCAGTGAGAGATGACAGGCGAGGATGAAAGCAGGTCGTTTAGCCCATTGTGCAATTCAGCAAGATTTAATCACAAAATGTTTCCAAGGGGAACCGCGTGGAGGTCCACCTGATAGGGTGTATTTTTTTATATTTTATTTATTTAAGGCAAACAAACAGCTAGAACAATACATAATTATATACTTAAATAGTAATTTGTCAGCCATTAAAATTTGCACAAATAAAATACAAGTAAACGAAACACAAAATTAGACAATACTATGTAAATTAAACAAAGTTAAACAAATACTATTGAAAATTATAGCAACATTGTCAATAATAATAATGCTGGCAATGGGTCAGTTAGACCCCATTACTAACAATTCCTTCCCCCTCCCTTATTATTATATCAGCCGTTAACTGACCCCTGCTGAACCTTTTCCATAAGGGAAGTTTTGCCAGTAGTTATCACGTTTGACAGGCGGATTGGCATTCGCAGATAGATTTTGGTGATGTTTTAAGAGGGACGCTGCTACCAATCTCTCGACCATTATGTTCTAACGTTCATAACTATACTAAACATGAAATTGTTCAAAATGAGAACCAATACATGAATTTACAGGGTACAGAGGAATAACACCTGAGTCCTCAGGAATGGCAACGCATGGGGGGTATCGTGGGCGAAACAGTATACTCTGTTATGTCCATGGTACTGCTCATGTCTATAGGCGACGGTTACCACTTTCCATCAGGTGGGCCGTCAGCTTGTTTGCCATTCTAAATTGTATAAAAAAAAAACTTATAGACAATCTTTACAAAACTACAAAGCCTAAAAAAAGAAATCAGACTCCCAGAGAAAGCAAAGCATGTTCACGTTCTAAATGCATCCGATAATAATCAGATCCGAAGTTCTCCGAATCGTTTGATCCAATCTAAATACAAATGATTTGGAGTAATCTGAAACAAAACTTCACCGGACGCCTTCATTCGAAAATGCATGCATGCCAACAATCCCCGAGGGATTTTGGTATAATAACATTCGGGATCTATACAGTCCGAGTCGAATAATATGAGTTCGTAATGTAATTTCCCTAACACAATAAATATGTAAGTCGTATTCTACCTGTAGCTAGCAAGATTGCCTATTGCCTAGATTTACTGCATACACAACGGCAGTAAATAGTAGCGGTGTCGCAACCTCTTTTACTACCGAACCTGTAACTACGCGATATATTGCATTTCACCGATGAGAGATATTCTCTATGTTTAAGCCAATTCTGTTGATTTTTTCTTATCATTTGAGTGATTTTTTTTTAAGTCATTTATTCGTTTAACGTATTATAGTATCAAATATTAATACGTGAAGCAAAAACTTTGTACCCCTGTTTACGAAAATTGCGCAGACAGATTAGTGTGAAATTTGGCACACTTATAATTTATATAGAGAAGGAGTGCAGAATGCTAATATATTTTTTTTAAATTATACATAAAAAATACATTAAATCAATACACACACTACCATATATTTGACACACACACGCAGATAAACTTTTGTTTATTGTTAAAGTCTGTGGTCAAATTGAGAATAGATTTATATTGTCTTTAATATTATTTGTCTATAGTCTTACTGAATGTCATATATAACCATAATGAATTCATTTATTACAATATATGTTATGGTCAAATTTTGACCAAGGGTGACCACTTGTAGTATCAAATATACATAGTAAAATCAAAGATATAAGAATTTCCTCCCGCGAACTTTCAGACTGTGGGATAAGTTCTCTGTCGAGGTTTTCTCTAGAGACTACAATATGCAATTCTTCAAAAAGAGTATATTTAGGTTTCTTCAGGAACGACGACGCACACGTGACACCACTAGTATTGCAGGCTGCAGTAACTGTTTATCATTAGACGGGCTATATGCATGTTTGCCACATTCGTGGTATAAAAAAAACATAGGCAACCTTTTAAAAGAATGTTCGTATTTATTTTTTTATTTATTTATACAAATAAAAAAGAATCGCCTAAATGTGTTGTTAAGCGGAAATCTCGGTATTGGATAAACCAATACGAGATTTTTTCTTTTACACAAAAAGTTCTTATGAGGAAAAAATTGGAAAAATTGTTCGTGTGGGGAAAAATGTAATGCCCACATTTTTCCCCACACGAACTGTTTCTAGCTGCCAATTCAAACAATATTTTTGACTGAACGATGCTGGTCGGGTCAGTCAGTTTTTTATAATATAAGCATATATGTCTATCTCCAATTATCCTTTTAAATCACATAAATATAGTCACAAAAGCGCATACAGTGAAAATAATGAAAATAGATTCTCACAAACTTTGTTATCCATGTATAATATGGTACAGAAAACTACGTGTACTGTTATGCAGCTCTTAAATTCACACTGAATATGTCCAGAAATAATTTGCCAAGCTTTAAAACAAATATTTTCACGTCACGTGCATAATCCAGCTGGGTGTTGGTAAAAAAAAACGAAACAATTTAGCTATTTGTTCGCAGAATAATCCCGTATTGTTATTTTACGCCTTTTTCATGTAAATGCATACATTTATTTCACGAGGATCACTTTTAAAAGTTTTTAAAACGTGACGTTTTTTAAATACATTTTTAAGGCGGGAACGGGTCACATTTGCGGTTCGAATTCCCGCTGCGGAATTTTAAAACGGCGGATTCGTTGAGAATTCCCTGTGTCCGACAAAGATACGTTGCAGCTTAAAAATAAAATGAGTGTAGGCAGTTAAAGTGAATATTGTAAGTGAGAATGGCAGCATTCGAAGTGTTCATTTTTGTTTTCCTGCTAGAAACTGGCTGTGCTAATGTCCTAGAGGTGATTGTAATTGTTTTGTTCCCACTTTTATGGCTGTGCCGCGTATTTCCAACAATTCCGCGTACGACCAACGAGGCGGGCGTGGGCCAGAAAAAAATGTCACTGCGGAATAAAGCTGCAATTCCGTTTATAAAGGATATATGCAAAATACTTTGCGCTCACTGTCTGTCGGACTCCATTTCTGTGGTTAACAATTTGAAATAACGCTTTATTGCGTCTAATAAAAATTATACACAAAGGATGTAGGTACCTATATATACTTATTTCAAATATTAAAACTATATTTGAAATAAGAATGTAAATACTACAAATATATTACATACAGTAGTTAATTCAAGTATTTTATCGTTATTATTAACCTTTAACTGTCCACTGCAGAACATAAGCCTCCCCCTTGAAGGGTTTTTTTTTTTTAATGGGTGAAAATGGAATGGTAACCCTGCCCGAGCTATCGGTATACACCGACGAGGCACCAATAGAAGGTGATAGGTGGAAATGAATGCAGGTCAGTTGGCCCACCATGATGAATTCGACAAGAATTAACCATGATGGTTTCCAGGGGGAACCGCGTGGAGGTCGACCTGCGAGGGTAAATTGCTAGCAATGGGGCTATTAAAGGGGTTTTGTAGTGTTGTAGTGGTTGCAGTAGTGATCACGCTTGACAGGCGGATTGGCCACCGCAGTTAGGCTTTAAAGGTGTTTTAAGAAGGACGCTGCTGCCCACTCTTCGCCCTCCCTTAGTTGCCTCTTACGACACCCACGGGAAAGAAAGGAAACGCGGAATGAAAGGAAAGGAAGTTTTAGTACTTAATTTGATAGATTTAGCTTTAATTATTAGGTATAGTGACATAATTTCGTCTTGTATGATTAGTATTACTAATCCTAATAATATTTAAACTATTTCATACATTAAATAGTAAATTAAAAGTGGGTGCATTCCCGGAAGCTACGGCTTAACGTTGTATGATAATCATATAGGATATTATCTCTAAAATTAACCTATTTTTAAAAAACGTCAAGCGTCTCGTTAACGTACAAATGAATGCTTTATAATGACGAAAAATGTTATTATAGAAATATGTCCAAGAGAACCGTCGCCTGGCCAAAGCTATTGTGGAAGCGTTACATGACCCCAGTTTCGACGAGGAACTGCTCTACGACCTGAAGAAGGACAACCAGGTGCACCTCAACCGCACCATGTCGCTCCTCATCAAATATATCGTAAAAAGGTTCCGTACGTCCGTCATATTGATATTATTAATCAAATACTGGTGGGAGATTTTGTACAAACTTTTCAAAGTCTTCATAGTAATTCTGTCGCCATTTTGACGCCGTAGCACTAGAATAATAAAAATATGCCTGAAATATGTATAAAAATATGTATTTATTATATGTAAAATATTTATTTATTTAACTCTTTATTGCACCAAAAACAAAAAAAAAAACAATGACATATAAACAATTCACCTGAAATACAGTAGCATGAAGTACAGGTTAAAATATACATATAAAGGTACAAAAGGCGGTCTCATCGCCTTATATGTTATACTAACATTCATGGGAGGGGAATTGGTAATAATGCGAACTACTATTGCTAGCAATATATACTGCCACGTCGACCACCACGTGGTCTCTTCTGGAAACCATCGAATTCTAAGTGTATTTATCATGATAGGCTAACTGACTTGCCTTTTCACCTATCATCCCTCACTGGTGCCCCGCCAGTGTATACCGTTAGCACAGGCGGAATTACCATTCCATTATTTACCAGAGGGAGACTTTGTACAAAAGTCATTTACTTGGTCACCTCTGTCCCTATTCATGTTTCTACCGTGAAGCTGTTGTGTTAGCATGGCTGTGTTTCGGTTTGAAGGGTGGGATATGCCAGTGAATTTACTGGTTACAGAGGAATAACGCCTGAGTCCTCAGGAATGGCAACACATGGGAGGTATCATGGGCGAAACAGTATACTCTGTTATGTCCATAGTACTGCTTATGTCTATAGGCCACGGTTACCACTTTCCATCAGGTGGGCCGTCAGCTTGTTTACCATTCTAAGTTGTATAAAAAAAAATAATTATCATCTATTAAAATAATATTTACTGGCGACTTCACCGTATCCTTTCTCATCTGAAGTACTAAATACATACCAAAGAATAACAAACAAACTCAACTTTCGATCTTTCTTGCTATCTAGTTTACATCTAAAAGGTTTTTTCTGAAAGAGTCCATAACATAAAATCGCCTTTTGGACGATTATCTAATTTGTCGTCCCACGATACTGTGACGATAAATTATCGTGCCGTATTACTATAAGTTCTAAAACTGCGTCCTGTATAAAAAAAAAAAACAAAAATATAAAAAAATTATACGAATTACAAAAAGAAAATTTAAAAACAGAACACATTTCTTTTATCTTTGATTGTAATTGTTTTCGGCCAGTCCTAACCTTGACATTAACTTGTAGGGAGGTGGACAACTACAGGTCTAGACGTACGGATGCCATCAGCCGACGCATATATTCGTCACTTATCATGAAACTTATAGATATAGCAAAGGTGAGTGGTAAGTCTAAAATAAAAAAAAAACACGTCGACCCTCAGTACGTAACATATAATAAAATAAGGGTTAATACACACTGTGAAATTTCATAGTGCGATTTTTTTTTAATTCTTTAACATAAATATGAATTATAAAATGCTATACAGACTGCCGAAAAAAATATGCAATTGTTGAAAATAATCTATGAATAGATATGTAATATAATATTTATATAATATAAAATGTGAAAAAAGTACGCTCGGAAACAATCGCTCAAAATTGCATTAACCTTAAGTAAGTCATAACGAATGAGGAAGTCCTGAAAAGAATGAACGAGAAAAGAACATTAATTAAAATAATAGAGAATAGAAGAGGCAAAACGTTGGGCCACCTTATACGACATGACGATTTTTTAAGAGCATAGTAGAAGGAAAAATAGAGGGCAAAAGAGGAAGACCGAGGAATAACTACATGGGACAGATAAAAGAAACACTAGGTGTCATGTCGTATAGGGAGATCAAGGATATGGCCTGGGATAGAGCTGGCTGGAAGAAGATGCATGAATTCGTTGCACCGACAAGAGGAAACTCTTAAATGAAAAGAGAGAGAAGTCGTAAGATGTAATAGTGCAATATACCAAATAAATTATAGCAATATACTAAGTGGATATTACTATTAGGTAAGAAATAGATATAGCTTTTTAGCTGTTTTATAAAGGAGGATGGTTATTTTTTATTAATACAGTATATAGTTTGTCGAATTAAATATCATTAGGTCACGTTACTAACAATAGTATAAAAAAAAAACTAGTGACCAGCCCTAGCTTCGCGAGATTTCTAACCCGTGTCAGTGACCTAAAATTTACTTGAATAAAAATATTAATTCTTTCTTGCTTTCTCTGATAATGTAGTTTCTTTTTTAAATCCGTTAAGTATTTTTTCAGATTATCCATTACAAACAAAAAATTATTTTCTGTTTATTATATTATACTAGTTTGGATTAGATAAACGTGATGATCATAGACTATCAAAAGTTTTCTAACATTGTTTGAATTTAGAATCTATAAAAGTCGTAAGATAAGTAATAAAAGACAAGTAGCAAGCGAATTCGTCGATGAAATCGGCATCGCTAGCGAGTCCGTGAGTCGGAATGAGACTTCCGACGTTACTATCTCTTTCTATCTTACAAACTCAGTAGCAATGGTGATTCCATCGTCGAATTCGCTTGCTACTTGTCTAGAGGGCCTGTTTACTCATGTCAAACGTTTCCTGAATGAATCCAGGACCTTCCCCGTAACGAGAGCTCGGCGAGCCGCGTCGACACCGCGCACCGGTACTACATGTCGGTGGAGAGCCGCGACATGCACGACCAGATGGCCGACATGCAGGTGTTCCACGCCTGCGCCAGACTCTACGATATCATGTTCACTGTAAGTATAGCAGTAAAGGCTTGTACACACTGCTAGTTTTTACAGCGCGATTTTTTTTGCGATTTTTTTGTCCATTTTTTTTTATACAACTGAGAAGGGCAAACAATCTGACGGCCCACCAGATGGAAAGTGGTAACTGTCGCCTATAGACATGAGCAGTACCATGGACATAACAGAGTATAGTGTTTCGCCCATAATACCCCCCATGCGTAGCCATTCCTGAGGACTCAGGTGTTATTCCTCTGTACCCAGTAAATTCACGCCATATCACACCCTTCAAACCGAAACACAGCTATGTAAACACAACTGCTTCACGGTTGAAACACGAATGGGACAGAAGTACCCAAGTAATCAACTTTTGTACAAAGTCTCCCTCTGGTATATATATATATATATATATATATATATATATATATATATATATATATATATATATATATATATATATATATATATATATATATATATATATATATATATATGTGAATGAATAAATAAAGATTAGTGTGTTCCGATGGCTATGGTGCTTTTTATTCATGTCTATAAGTGGCTGTTGAATTTATTATCATTATTATGTCATCCGTTACCTGTCCACTGCTGAACATAGGCCTCTCCCTATGGGGGTTTTTTTAATAGATGATAATGGAATGGTTACCTCACCTGTGCTATCGGTATACGCTGGTAGGGCACCAGTGAGGGCTGATAGGTGAGAATAAAACAGCAGATCAGTTAGCCCATCGTGATGAATACATCTGGGTAACCACGTGGAAGTCGACCTGACAGGGTATATTGCTGGCAACGGGATTGGTAGTCCGCATTACTAACAATCCCTTCCCCCACTATTGGAGGGTTTGCCAATACTTGCCACGCTTGGTAGACAAATTGGCAACCGCAATTAGGCTTATGGTGGTATTTTAACAAGGACTTTGCTGCTCATTCGTGCCGTCCACCATTAAATTCCCTTAGTCGCCTCTTACGACACCCACGGAAAAGAATTGTTAGATATTTGTTAACAAATCAGCTTAAATATATTTTTTATTAAAATTCGGTACATACGCAGGAGAGTCTTTATACTGGACTGCGCAGATAAAACCGCGAGATTTAGCTAATACAGAATAGAATGGCTACACAGGACAGCAGGGCAGTATATTGACATGTGCTTTTATTATATTTAATACAGGCACCGAGAATTTTATCTCAGCTGGGCAAACTGGACGATCTAACACCGAGACTTCTGGTTCGAAAGCTTAAGGCTATGGAGATCAAGCCGGTGCACCTTGGGATAATTCTGCTTGTACAGGTACACCTACTCTCTTTCCAGCAGTAAATTTAAGAAAATGCTATTATAATCCGACGGTAGATACATAAAGCTAATATGGCAATGACCCAGTCTGTGATGTGTCGATTACATTAATAATTTAAAATAAGAATTCTGTCAAAATTAATGTGATACCAATATAAGAGTTTTTTTTTAGGATGATAGATGAGGATGAAAGCAGGTCAGTTGGCCAATCGTGACAAATTCATCAAGATTATCCACGGTGGTTGCCAGAAGGAATCGCGTGGAGGTCAACCTGGCAAGATATATTGCTAATGAGGCAAGACAGGCTCCATTACTAACAATTTATTCTCCAACCTCCCCCCCCCCCCCCCCCCCTTCAAATACAGGTGTTACTACTATCGATTACCAATGGAGCTATAAAAATTGGTACAAAATTTCCAATATAATTTTAAAGCATGGCCGCAGCCACTAAACAATATAATTTTTGAATGTCGAAAGAAAATTTCAATTATTAGTTTAATAATTATTAAAAATACCTACATTTAAACGTAACGCTTAAAAAATCTGTGAAGTGTTATAAAGCTAATCTATTGCGCTTTATTACAGTCTATATTTTATCTCGAAATATTAAAAGGTCCCCGCGGGAATATCTAACAACTGCGGGATGGGTCTATCTTCGATATTTTATGATTTACTTTCTTTTATTACTGTTGCCACTTATCAGCACATAACATTATTATGAGACCGCTGTATGAAACCGGTCAATCACGAAAATCAAAATTATAAACATTCGTACAACACTATGAATATTTATTTGATTTTGTGGATACTTCTAAATGATTGCATAGATCAATTTTCAAGTTTCGTCAATATAAAGGCAGTGCCTTCTCTTAAATAACGTTTTTTTTTTTTTTATGGATTTCACGGCCTCGTCTTCTAGCCCTTTGGAAACTAACTTACTCTATGGTGCTCACAAAATAATTCGTCATTCATTGGAGTGTTTTATTAAATTTAAAATAAGAATTTCGAGTTTATAAACCAAAATTAATTTTGTAACCAGTGAAGTCGTACACAGACTGTCGTTTCTTTTTTTTTTTTTTGCGTATTGTTAATTGTGTGCTGTAAGTAATGCAAATAAATTATACATATATCTGTCTATCTATATACCTAATAATATGTACAATACATTATCTAGTGTAAACTAAATAACGAACATATCTCTTACAGTACCACCTCAGAAACACCGTGAACTTCGCCGTCAGAACCAAGGCCATCGACGTACTGGCCACCAGGCCACAGAACGTGGGTCCTCAGGTGATAGACATGCTGAAAGCCCTCGCGTCCCGCCTTCTGCCCATATCAGAGTTACTGGACATCCATATAGCTCACTACAGCCCCGCTTTTAAGGACACTAGCCCCTCTACGTGGCTGGGCATTGTGAATAATAAACAGCCTTAACTTTTTTTACTTATTATTTATAATATAAAAGGAATCTTTATTTTTATGACCTCAATGGTATACCGGAATAATATACTACCTTATATTCCTTAATTGTGGATTCGATCCTCATACAATACAAACATTCATATATATTAGTATAACTATTTATTTATTATTAATATATTATAAGTAGTATTTATGTGTTATATGTGTATTTCTTATGTATTATTATGTATAATTATTTCAGTATGTTGTTATAATTATGTCAAATATTTTTCACCACATCTGCCCTTCATACACTTTCTGTTTTTACCCAATGGTTAGCTGGTAGAGAATGCCATATGGCATTAAACTCGCCATTTGTACAAAGTTTTATTATGCAATAAAGAATAAATAAATAAATAAATATTTATGATAATGATTGACACTATTTGAATTAGTGTGCATATTTTCTGTGTATTATAAATATGTATTTACAAAACAAACGTATTTAAAGATGTCTATTAGTTATCTTGTATCCGTGCAAGTTCTGCTTAGTTTGAAGATAGTTGGCAATGAGAAAAATAAAAGAAAAATAATTTAGGCGACATCAAAAAGAAAGTAGTGAGAATTCAATCGGACAACCTCTAATCTGGGATCTATCTGGAATCTAATCCCAGGTTGAGACTCCGAATTTTACAAATTCACCTTAAGATCTTTTTAAAATTGATTTTCTTTTGCTTCGTACATTAGAAGACATATCAGAGAACAAAAACGGCGGCACAGGTGGCGCCACCTTCGCCTAGTTATAGCGGTAGCATTGATATGTATGGCACTGATAAAATATTTCTTATCTGCGTAGGCGATACCACTTTAGATCACTTCCCGATTTGTTGGGATGGTATAATTTCGACACAGAAACTCAATACTGATTCGTTCCACGTCTTTACCAAAGTGGCCGCCTTTGAAACTCTTAGTTTTAAATACACCCGTAACCCTTCCCAGTAGACGTACCAGTGTTGCAAGCTTCGAGTTGCGGCACACCGACAGACGTGTAGTTTTATTGTAAAGCGAATTTATCGCTCATAAATCGAGCACAGACGTACCGATTGATCTTAGTATCGATTTAGAGCCATAGAACACGCGCGTTAATGAACGTGACTCTTGATTCAGCGCGTGCGTCTAAAGTGCAATTCGATTTTTAAATTTCCCGCCCTATTTTCATTTTTTTTTTTTTAGTACGTTTGTTCCGTTTGGAACAGGCTAAGGTCGGAGACCATGCTGCCTAGTCTTCAAAAAGATAATTTGTCTGGAATCCCTATTTTCAATTAAATAAAAAATACATGTCACAACATAACCACTAATAACAGCAGTGGACAAATCAGACCCGCGTCACTTCGAACTAAAAAAAACGTGTGTATGCAACCAGTTCATTAATTTTATAGGTTTTGCGCTACAAAATAATTAAGTATAAGCAGCTTAAATCACTTTTTCTATAAGACAAATTCAATTCAAAAATTCAAAATTCAAAAATCATTTATTCATGTAGGACATTTTAGCCGCTTATGAACGTCAAATTTTTACATTATAATTTTATATTTTCCCTACCGTCCAGTTCGGTATATAGATCCAATTGAGAAGAACTGGCAAGAAACTCAATTGAATTACTTTTTTTTTTAAAGCCAGTTTATTTACAATGTATATTTATATAGGTGTCTATGTCTAACATTAAATGAAAATTCAGTGCATGAACAACTATTGCCATGCACACTCGTCATTCAAGTAATCGTTTAATGAGTAATAGGCTTTGCTCAGTAAATATGATTTAACAGATGTTTTGAATTTATTTAAGGGTAATTCCAACATATCCTTTGGTATCTTATTGTAAATTTTTATACCTATTCCCATAAAAGACCTATTAACTTTTTCTAAACGATACTTGGGGACAGCAAGTTTGTCTTTAAATCTAGTATTAATATTATGAATATTGCTGTTTTTTGGAAATAAGTCAAGATTTTTATGAACATATAGGATATTTGAATATATAAATTGAGAAGCAACGGTGAGAATATTTGCCTCTTTGAATTTCTCTCTTAATGAGTCACGACTCTTCATACAGTAGATCGTTCGAACGGCACGTTTTTGTAATATGAATATATTCTTAATATCTGCCGCTTTTCCCCATAGTAATATTCCATAAGAGAGTAAACTATGAAAATAACTAAAATAGACTAATCTAGCAGTATCAGTATCAGTGTATTGTCTAACTTTACGCACGGCAAAAGCTGCTGAACTTAGTTTCGCTGCAAGGCTTTGAATTTGTGCACCCCATTGTGTTTTATTATCTAGTGTGATTCCTAGAAAGACAGTAGATTCTATAAATTCGAGAGATTCGTCATTTAATTTAATATTGCAATTAGTATTAAAACTTTTAGACAGAGAGAAATTAACACATTTTGTTTTTTTAGCGTTTAACATAAGATTGTTAGTTGTAAACCAGTGCAGGAGACGCCGCAAAGCACTATTTACATCGTCATAATTATTAGTCATTCTATTAACTTTAAAAATCAATGAACTATCGTCTGCAAACAATACTATGCCGCATCTATCCTGCATGGCATATGGGAGATCATTAATGTAAACTAGGAATAAAAATGGACCGAGAATAGATCCTTGAGGTACACCCATTTGCACAAGTGACCCGTCAGACGTAGCGTTGCTAATCTTCACTTTCTGTATTCTATCAGATAGATAAGATTTTATTAAATTTAAAGCATTGTCTTTGACGCCATAAAAAGCAAGTTTTTTTAGCAATGTATTATGATCAACGCAATCAAAAGCCTTAGAAAGGTCACAAAAAACACCTATCACATCCATTTTAGTTTCCCATGCAGCAAATACGTGTCTAAGCAACTCTGCACCTGCGTCTGTAGTTGAACGACCTTTGGAAAAACCGAATTGACTATTGTGGATTAAATTATTTAAATTGAAATAACTGACAAGTTGCATAAGGATTATTTTTTCAAAAATTTTACTGAGTGCTGGGAGTATGGATATAGGTCTATAATTTATTGGGTCACTCCTATCTCCAGATTTAAAAAGCGGTATGATTTTACTAATTTTCATTATGTTAGGAAATTTACCTTCATCTATACATTTATTGAAAATAAAAGCAAGAGAGGGCGCAATAATTTCCATTATACTATCCAGTATTTTAACAGATATACCCCATAGATCCTCTGTTTTTTTATTATTAAGCTGTTTGAATATTTTCATTATTTCTACTGATGATGTATGTCTAAAGTTAAATACAGCTGATGACTTGCTAACATTGTCTGTTAGTAAAGTTTCAGCAGCAGACGGGGAAGATTTTAGAGCCTGTGTCGTAATATTTTAAACTAGTCGTGAGCATGTTTCTTTTAATATAATATAATATATTTTATATAAATTTAAAATATACTTTAAAAGAATCATATTTATATTAATCAAAATCTGTTTTTGACACTCCACTGAGTGTGTGACACTCGGTGCTCTATCTATATAATCTAGACCTGTTATGTATACTTACATTCCTACGCTAAAACATATAAATATCTTTAAAGAAATTTAATATTGTGAAAAATCAATAAAAAAAAACACTTTATAAATCACAAACATTAAATTAAAATAACGATAAATCTAGCTAATACAAAAATATCTCGCACCGTAAACGAAGCGACCGTTATTGCATCATTTAATATCTCAAACGAAAAACACACTTCACAGCTATGAAAATAGAAACGTGAGAATTTTATAATCGCACGACAACACTAGGTACCACAAAGATAAGATATCGTAAACTATAAGAAGTGTATAAATTAAATAAAAATTCGCGTTCTTCATTAAAAACTTAATTTCATTTAGCTACAAACTAAACACCATCCGTTTCGTGGCTCCGCTCCAGTTAGCGTATGCGTGTGCGCAGTCCATTATATTCAATTTACGATCACAGGTTATGGCCCCATAGTTATTTTTATGAAAATATCGTTTGTTCACACATAAAATATCATATTTGTTGTGCTGTCATATGGCCAGTTGGGCAATGGAGGGGAGATCACGCGTTACATCCGATGTAATGTGAATTATGAACGAGATGGTTTATTTAGCGTGAAACAAAATATTGTGAAGGAAAATAAATCGTAATAAAAAATCAGATATGACAAATGGTTTTGAAGTATGTGTCGAGGGAAATAAGATAATTTGTTGGAATTATTGTAGAAGATATGACATCTATTGCGGTTGCGATATGTTAAATAGAATAATATATATATATATATATATATATATATATATATATATATATATATATATATATATATATATATATATATATATATATATATATATATATTAGAGATTATAGAATAATATATATTCATCCAGAGATCCATAGTGCAGTTCATCTTTCTAAAAGATGTTTATCACTTTCTATCAAGTGGGCTAATAGCTGGTTTGCTTTTAAAAAAACAGTTAGGCTTTTCCCTTATGGGGGGTTTTGTCAGTAGTTGCCACGCTTGGTGAGCGTGTTGACAATCCCAGTTAGGCTTTAGTGATGTTTTAAAAGGAACGCTGCTGTCTAAGCCTCAACTAGTTACCTTAGTCGCGTCTTACGACACTTATGGAAAAGGAAGGGGTGGCACATTCTATACCGACACCAGGATAAATTATATAGGTAATAATTGCATATATTTTCAAATAGAACTACATTTTGACTGTCATGGCATGCAGACATGCTACATTACTTTTAAAATTTATTATTTACATTTCAAAATTATTCTTCACATTCCGTTATCACGAAATGTTGCTACAAATTTTTGTTGGTTTACATTTAATAAATGTTATTTTAATAAAAAAAAATACAATACTCACTAAAAATACTGGCTGACTTTGTAATTAATATTTTTCTTTGCAAAATGTAAGGAATTAACGTTACATTTTGCAAAGAAAAATATTCTCTAATTAAATAAATCATTTTCATGAAAAAGGGAATTATCAAAATCAATTCAGAAAGATATCGCGTAATATTTAGGTGATTCAAGAAATCTTTTTTCCTTGAATTCGCTTAAAAGTTGGTCTAGCTGACCCCCTAAGTAAACAAAATGTCCGCCAATTGTTTCAAAAGTATGTTACGATCGGTCCCACTTTCCAAACTCGTTTATGGGTAGTTATAGACGATGTAATGGGCTTTAACTCTACAGACACTTTGATCTTAATAATCTCGAATCACTTTGTTTCAATGATGTTGAACACATTTCCAATAAGTACTGTTCAATTTGAAGTTTTATTGTTCACTAGCATTTTACCCATGACTTTGTACACGTGGATTTTTAAAA